TAAAAATATCTTACGCACTTATTTTTTGAAAGATGGTTGCATGGAATACAAAGTCTCCGACACCAGATGATTGCAGCCGAGTGTCTCAGAAGCCTGATCTCCAAAAGTTGATGACCAAAAGCCTGAGTGGGATCAAGCAAAATTAAACGGCTCGTTGATCTTGGCTAGTGAAACCAAGCAGCATGTACTTTTGGTTTGATGATCCAATGAAGCTTCCGCATCCTGTAGAGGACACATCAGAGAGACACCAAGCAACGCAGTTTCTCAACAGACCGGCACATCTTCTTTAAGGCAACCAAGAAGCTCAAATGATTTTTTGGAAAGGACCAGGTGGAGCTTAGCAAACATAAGCCCAGAATGATACATATCCCGAGAGGCCTGGTGCGACCTCAGGGAATGGTTGGGCCACAAGAGTGCCAATGAAGAAAGGCGGAAAGCCACAGAATTCTGATCACAATTTCCATAGTTGTCAAACCTGCATCAAAGGTGCAGAATGCGTGGGTTTCGCTCCATTAAGCCAAAAAATCTAGATAAGTGGTTCCTCGGTGGCAGGCGACCGACACACACAAATACCAAAACAAATTGGCAGTTCCAGCTTTCGGCACATTGCCCCAGAGAACGGCATATGGTGTTTCTCATCATCCCATCCATCCAGAAATAAAGATGAGGCCAAGTATCATAGCAGCATAGGACAAGCCCATACGTGGGTCAACGTACAGGTGAGGAGAAGCCACTGCATTTCCCAAACAGTGAGTCAGCCACTCCAGAGCAACTCTCCCATTGTACCCCTTCAGCGTGAACTGGATCTCCCCGCCAGCTTTGATCACCTCAATCCCGCAGCATTGCTGTGAACTACGAACTTGGTCACTTGCTGGGAGCCAGCCCCAATCCCAGAGTTTGTTAGGTTTGAAATTTGAAACCGAGCCACCATTTTTTGGGTGAAAGGAGCTTGGCTACATGGGATCTTTTTTGCAGCAATGAACGCTTTGAAATGGGCATAAGCATTGTCCAAGAGTTTCTGTTGAGACGGGTCATTGCCAAAGAATCCAGCTTCCAGCAACATCATCCTTGGCCGGCGCGGGCGGGATACACACCACGTTCTTTTTTCTCAAGTGATCCAGCTAGGAAAACATGACTTCTATTGCGACTAGCATTGCGCTTTCAGTCTAGGCCACCATCGGCCGACATGATCCGAGCCACAGCGATGCGCCGTTGCAAGTATAAAGAATACCCAAGTTGAGCACATGGAGGGTGCACCATTTTATGAGATGGGGATGGAAGTTCCGCACAAAAATCAGCGGACCTCAGTTACAGAATCAAACCATGGTTCATGACAATGTAAATCTCCACCCGAGCGAACTTGAAAGCAAACATGTTGAAACCTGCAAAGCTGGTAAAGCTTGTATGTTTTGTTTTCAATAAAATGCGCTGAGAAACAAATGTCTTCATCAGGCATTTCTGCAGCCAAAAATTCGACCTTGTTGTAAATCGTCCCCCAACAAGATGCATTCTCATCGATGTGATAGTATTGTGTCGCTGGGGGCCCTTTTCCAAATGCTTTGCACAAAAAGCACACAGGCACATTCGCTCCTCCTTTCCAAGATGATGTCAAACCAAAAATGAGCTTGAAATAGCTCCAATCCCCCCTAAACTCCGTCAAGGCAAAGGATCTGTTATGTTTTGTCAGGCTCTGGCCTGCCAAATCTGACTGCAGCCTTTGTCCATGCATATCCACTCTGGGAAATCGTCCCCAGAACATCATGTTGATGCTCCATGTAATCAACGCAAACACCTTGTTCAATGTCTTTCTCCCAAAAAGAAGAGTTTCATCAATGCTGAACAAAAGCCACCTGCTGAATCGTGATGACCTTGGTCGCCACAGTGGCAACGATAGAAAAATACCAAAAACTTTCTCCACTGGACGGTAAGCTTGTTGCCTGCATCTTGCTCCATCTCCGTACAAACCAATCGGTACGTGATCACGACTGGCATCGCACCCCTCCAACCATGGTGCATTCACCGAGTGGTAATGGTCCCAAAAGTCATGAACCCTGGCGCTTGGAATGTCTACTCCACATTCATCGAAAAGATAGTGGATGACCTTGTGTGGCTCCAAAACTTCCAGCTCTACGTTTCGAAAGCCGCACGGTTCTTTAGGCGCTTTGATAGGGGCAACCACTTTTGTAGGTTCCTTACACTTGGCGCAAGTCTTGGCTACGAACAAGATGCATTTTATACTTGCAACATGAAAACTTTTGCAACACAATATACCATATTTGATAGATTTCTAAAAATAGCTTGTCTTTTTTGGTATATAAAGTATCCAAGACAACGGTTGCATCACCTTCGTCAAATCTGACCAAGGGTCAACAGAAATTTTGCAGGATCTCCAAAAATCACGGCTATTGTTGTGACCAGAATAGGTGCCAAGGCATGCAGAAAATTCGTGGCAATATGATGGACCACTTTCCTTAGAGAACACACAACATGTCCTACAGTTTTCCACTGATTGGTGTCATGCGATCGTTTGGATTTTGTCGTTCTAAGCATACATCAGTGTGGGGATACATAAACGACTTGGGTACAAACATAAGGTCATGGACACCGCATGGACATTGATGATGCCTTTGTTTTGGTGCATGGTAGGCATGCTGAATTAGCTGCCCAGCATCTTCAACGTGACTCCTCAATGTCCCCATGGCCCCAGCAATGCTCATGGCCTGAGACGAGCAGGGTTGAAGGAATAATAGGGCCAAACATTTTTAAATTTATATAGATGACAGGCACCACATGCACTAACCACCTTTTGGATAACCACAAACTTGATTGTGTTTTTTCCAGGGGGTGGATCTACAACACAAGTATTTTAGCTAATGGCGACTGGTACCAAAAAGTAGAATGAACCTTTGTTCAATGATAGAGGTCAATAATCCTCTGGAGGTTTTCCATAGGTGTTTTTTATTCAAACCATTGAAGGGCTTCGGTTTTTGATATATGGAAATCACAGAAACCATTGTTGTTGAGGCTACATGTTGTAGAACTACTTGATATCCAATATCTCGTACTATATTTTCTTAACAAATATTAAATCGATATCGATACCATATTATATCAATATTATATACTATAGGTATGTTGTTTTTGGGTGTGTACACGCTTAGGGCCCATGCGCAGTGTGCCACTGGTGGCCAATTCGCACCCACCTTCCGATGCCAAGGTGCTCCGCGAGCCACATTGTCAATGGCGTTCTCAGCCATTGCAGCCACTCGGCCACCTGCGTGGGATCGGCAAGGGGCAACTGGGAGACTGGAAAAAAACACAGATATCTATAAACATGTTTTTCACATATGTTTCAAACATTTTCAAATGAATTCCAGTTGCGTAGATGGGAAAATATATCAAACAAATCACATGTTGGTGTTGTCAAACATCAGCCAACACAATATATTTTTCCACCGTTCGCGCAACCCATCTTTCAATGCGCTCCATGCGCACCAAATCACAAGACTAAGATTGTAGCATGTATGTTACATGCTTCCAAAACCCCCAAAGAGTTGCCTAGTTCATTGCCGCCTATGGCATCCACGTCAAGACATTTTGATTTGAGGTGTTCACAAAACAAGGGGTGAAGCATTCAAAATTTACAATGACTGTTTCAATTGTTTGTAGATGACTCCTGCAAATTGAAACGATTATCCCAACATGGAACTCCTTTCGACAAAAAGGTAGGCATCCCATTTCAACACTAGAACGGTAGCAGGTAGTCCCGCTACAGCTTTTGTAACAAAACCACTTTAAGCGGCTTAGCTCTGGAAGGACTTACAGGCTTCCTTGTAACGCTTCACAGACTGCAAGACAGCATCGATCTTAGGCAACATTGCGCCCACCTGCAGAAGTTCGAAGCGAGACTTGGGAAAGATCGAGACTTTGGCTTGCAAAGTGGGGAAAGGAGACCGGGGGGAACTTGATTTTACACTGGGTCCACTCCAGTTTGTCCTACTTCTGAACTTATGAAGATGCTTTGGCAAAAAACAACATGAGTCATCACGAGGGGGCCTCATCATCATCCACGAGGGCCATCAGGTTATCCCGGGCCAACACCATGGTGTGCTTCTGATTGCCCAGCTCCGTCAGCACGATGTTTTTCATGGGATCTGACCTGAGAAGCAGGGATTCAAATAGAGGGGCCACCCGAATGAAAGGATTAAAATTTCAAAGGCAATAAGTATTGCCCTTGAAAAATCATGCGGCAAAGCATGATGAATTTGTGTTTGATTTTTGATTGTGGATATATGTACAACGATACGCCATATTCACATAGACCCGGTCTCATAGTGATCATGTTGGAACAAGTGTATGCATTATATACAGATGCATCGCATAACTCACTGAGCAAGCATGTGACTGTTTGTTTTTGGAAAGTATTGTACGATATTGTATGGTATTTTCCACATGTTGGAGGCCATGCGTTTGATGCACAACATAAGCAGAAATTGTTTCAGTCAAAGCTAGGTAGCTGTTCTAAAACACATAAGTCATAAGCTGTTGACATTGAAAATGTCCCATCTGAAATTGTTGGAAAGCCAGACATCATCATGCCAAAATGATGTTCAAGGCATGAAATTAAGAGACAACTGACTGGATCAGCTTGGACAGCACCGGCGTATCTGAGGTGACCACAGCTTCGCTGCTTTGGACTCCCTCTTGGCGCAGTCTTGGATGCTGGCAGAGGCTTGGTTCAAAGCCTGGGCACGGGGAAGCGGATCCGGTATGATAATGAAGGAAACAAATTGATATCAACGAACATGTTACCAATGAACTTGAAGGTCATAAGGATGTTTAGCTAGCTGCTCAGGGGCTGACAGGATTCCTCATATGACATCAAGTATTTGTGGAGACCGTTATGAGATGATAGTTGTGGGTGCATTCTTTATATATTTTATGTCAATTATCTTTTGACACATATATTCGTTTGAGCAATATTGAAAAGTATAGGCCCTTCAAATATCCATATCATCTAAGCCATGGGCTTTCTTGGCATCTTGACGAACTTTCTGATCCTTCTTCTTCAGTTCACGTTCGTGTTCCTTTCTGTCTTTCTCCTCTTGCTTCTGTTTGTCCTTCTCCTTCTGAGCCTTGGTCTTCTTGTTCTTCCCAGCCTTTTTGTCTTTCTTGCTTTTCTTGCTCTTCTTGCTCTTCTTTGACTTCTTGGACTTTTTCTTCTTTTTGTCTCCCGAGTCGGAGTCAGAACTTTCACTGGAACTGTCAGTTGTCGACGTGGTGCTTGAGCTAGACCTGCCCCTTTTCTTGCTCTTCTTCCCTCGACCATGGCCCCCATCGGACACCGAGAACAAGCTTTCAAGGATAGTGTCAGATTGGTCATACTCAGACTCTGCATCGAACACTAAGTACTGACGGAGCTCATCCATTGGCGTGTCTGGGTGATCCCGGACCACAGCCGCACGAGCAGTCTCATCCATGGCCATCTTCTGACTTATGATTTCATCAGCAATGGACTCACTCTGGTACTTGTCAACAATCTCATGGCGACACATCCATTTTCTGGACCCTTTCCTCCCAACCTTGTTGACCTGTCGCATCTGAATGACTAACTTGCTCTTCTCCCACTTTTCTTCAGATCCGCACCAGTCCTCAAACATGACAGCCAGTTTCTGGCTCTTTCCAGGTCCTGGGCAGAACGAAAAACTTGGTGACGACATGTATTGCAGGTATCATGTATTACACATCATACCCCCCTTTGATATAATAAACAAAACGGTTTTTGAAATAAACGCTAATCACTTCTAAAGTCATATCTCGAAGATCCTGTACTTGTATTATCAGAAGTCGACTGATCATACATGTCCCCTGTACATGAAATCTAATGTTCGAATTATCAAGAAGGCTGAAACTCAGAACAGTGTGGATGGCCATAACATCGAGCATAACGTGGGACAAACATATAAAGTCTGTGCATGGTTATTCCTGTTTTGGATGTTTTTACATGTCTCCCTTCAGCTGGGCCACCACTGCGAGCATTGGCTGCCATATCCAAGACTTCCTGCGGGGAGTTTGGACCTTGGGTGCCAGTGCAACCAAGAAAGAGACACAAAACACATATGCCAGACAAAAAGTTGGACAGCAATGGTATGATATGACTATAGTGACTTGAAAACTACACTCATTCATGAAAGGTTTTTCGAGAGCTTGACTGCATGAACATATGTATGCAAAAAAATCTGATGGTCATGTAAATGTACTCAGGGACCCCGGCTGTCCAATGTTCGATAGAAGCGGTTCTTGCGGGCATGTGTTGCAGCATCACGTTTCCTACGTTTGCTTTCTGTTCCCTCCTCCTTTTCCTTTTGCTTTTGCTCTTGCTCTGTTCGGGCCAAAGTCTCCAGTGCTGCTGCTGCTGCTTCTGCAGAAGGTGGGGAACCCAACGATTCATTGGTACCACCCCTATTCAACAGAGAGTTCACTCCCAAACTGAAGCTCCTTTGAAGTTCTTCTTTCGGTTTCTGTCCAGCACCAACAGCAGGGGGCTGCTCAGGCAGGGCAGGCTTAGGTTTCGGGGCTGCTTTCACAGCTGACTGCTTTGCATTGGTCTTAGGATTCTCAGGCACCTGAGCTACCTTAGGCTCTGCAGCTGCTGCCGGTGCTGCTTTTGCTTTTGCTGACTTGCGCTTTCTGCCATCGGTCTTTTCAGGCATGTCTGCCGGGACTTGTTCATCAAAAGTAAGTTGTTGCGCAGGCATGGCTTTTGCCTTGGCACTAGCTGATGATGATACGATCGATGAACCATTCGAAGCTGGACTGGCTGTGCTATCCAACTCGGTCGGTGTTGTGCTTGAAGCACGTCTGATTTTGTCCTCAGGTGTCAGGTGTTTAGCCCTGAGAAGCTGAGCCTCCCTCACGTCTTTTCGTTTCATCAGATCCTGGGAGTCTTCATCAGGATCCAAAGTCATCGATGATGACGAACGTCCTGCCCAATGGATGGCCCTTTAAGGTCAGAGTCCCATGCATGAAGTGTCCATGACATGACACATACAATATATAGATACAGATTATTGACCACGCATGTGATATGTTCAATTTCCATATGTTGCAATGTTTAGATTCCAATATGGCAAAGGATGGTTTGATCTTTTCAGATAGTGTTTACTCTATCATTGTTTGGTTGCCGACAAATGGGCTTGCACCTGTCCTTTGCCCAAGGCTGCCACAACAGCAGCTTTCTTGGCCCGTGCTTGGGCTGCAGCTAGCACGGACGCTACATCAAGAGGCGCCATTGGCTTAGGGTCAACTGGATCACCTAAACTTTTCTCTGCTGTAGCCGCTATGCAACAGTTATAGGTGTATAATATCTCCAAGCAGTCCATGTTGATTGACATTCACTGACCATTCAGAATTAGTTTCAATTTCATGTTGAACCTAGCCTCGGTCATCTCCAAGAAACAAAATGACAACATTTTGACCCAAAGTATCCTTTGAAAATCTGGGGGGGTGGGACCACGGCCGCCCACGGTCGGACCACGCCAGAAAATAGTCTTACCACGCCAGAAAATAGTCTTACCACGCCTGCCCACGCTCATTTTTTTCCCCACTCGAATTTGGTTGCTGTAGTGTCAAAGTGGTATGCGAGGCCCACTTGATGGATTTTTCTATAGGTTCTATGGCTGCATATGTTCTTAACCCCGTAGGCATACCACGGGTTGATATTTCCTTCCATTGCCATCGCACTGCCCACGCTACTTGAGTAGGATGTTTCAATCATACAATCCTACTTTGAGGGATGGCTGATAGCGTCCCCTGGTGATTTCAGATTTCAAAAAGTCTCGGATTGGCCTGAGGTTTGCCCATCGCCAGTACTTCAGTTCCAGTGCCTTGGCTGCTACCACCGGGTGGGGCCCTGGCAGTTCTGGATCCATGCTCTGTCCTAAACAGGTTCGCTATGGGTATATACTGTAATTTGAAATTGGTACCATGGTGGTAGCTCAATAGTTGATCAAACATGTTTAGTGACAAGCTGCGTGCTCAACGCAGTATTGCATTGGGGGAGGTTCCACTCCGCTTTCATACAGTGCCTCGCGAAGGCTTCTCAGATGGGTCACCTTAGAAGAAGCTGGCAGGATTAAGGCCATGAGGTCACATGCATGTACAAACACTCATGTAGAATGCGATGATTCATGGGATGTCATACTATTTTAGGTAATCACTCACAATCAACCCCAACTCGATCATAAACCACATGGCCGAGATGCCAAATGGTGTTGAGCCACTTGCACACCATACTTTTTAGGGTAGACTTGAGATTCTTTCAGATGCTTCGCTCCAGACCTGGGCTGGACTGTTCGACCTAATTTATCGATAAACCAGCTTACTACCCAAATGATTCAATGATACATTTCTCAAGATATGATGATGAAATATATATCCAGTTGAATGAGCCCCTGGCACTCGTTTGACACCATTCTTGTCTTTGTATTTCCTTACCATCTTCAAGTTTTTTTTCCGAGCACGCCGGGCAAGCTTCTGACGCTCCTTCTTGCTGAACTTTTTGTACATAGCAGGAAGCCATGGCCTGGGGAACATCAGATCAAACTCACAAGTGTGGGGATACTAGTCATCAATGATTGATGGAACGAACTGTTTGATTGAATAAGCTGTTTGGTTCAATGAACAAAGTCCCAAATATCTGAAATAACAACACTTGTGGACACGATATCAAAAATTATATTCACATACAGTTAAGGCCCAGGCGTCAAGCCAAATAGCTTCGTGGGTTTGGGCGTATTGCTCCCATAGCTGCCCATGTGACTCAGCAATTTAATTTCTGCCCGACTTCACAAATGATGATGCGTAATGTTTGGATCACAACATCCTGTTGAGAAATCTTGGCTGAGGATTATGGTGCTTTTTTAGTGGCTTCGATCATGCACTGCAGCGCTCCAAGTCCCGGACAAGTTGATCTTCTGCCACTTGATCTTGAGCAGGTTCCAAAGTGTTCGCCTAAATCCTTTAAATAGAATAAAGTCTTGCATGATTGATGATCGAGGCTGTTCCACTGCAAAGAAGCAGCAACGACATAATCCCACCATGAGGAGAATGATCATCCTGGCTGTGATCCTTAGATAGGCAAGGGACCATGACGTTAAATGGCAATCTAGTTTGCAAAATTATGGTTTGCAGATTCACGATACTAAGAGCATAATTTTTGGTTCCAATTCAAGGGAAGCATTCTGTAAACTACCAATCAGGCGAGCTTCTGGTTTCCTTTTACAACCGTGGGCTGATCTCTAGCTCCTTCAGGATTAGAAGTGGATCGGCCACTCGTTCCTCTATTTATCCAGACCCATGACGAGCACGGGGGACCACAATGGATCAGGGATCCTTCCCTTAGGCGCAGCACGTGTTGTAGGGCCTTCAGCATGCCGCCCCTCAGTTTGTGCACGAACACACCAGGTAAAATGTCTTTAAGACTTGGTCAGTAGTGGTCTCATGAAGCGTCACGCTAAAAAAAAAATGGGCAAGCAATGATTTCAATACTGAAGATCTCATGTAATATGTGACTTTAACATCCAAGGTGTTGGGTAATTAATTTCACATCTTTGGCATAAAGCACATAGTATAATACATGTTGATGGATACTGCCTGTCCCTATCGATCAGCCAATCAATAAATCAATAGATCTGGTTGCTCACACACCTGCAATTGGGGATGGCACGTGCTCAAGATGTCGTCTTCAGCACGCAAGGTCACATCGTAGTCCAGACTCGGAATTCAAAACATGTCCAAGAAGTTCAAAAATTTGTCGATTCCCCCATCACGCACTTTGGGTCTGAGGTATGGCTCACTTGAGGCCCAGACACTGGCAATCCTGCCGAACCTTGGCCGGTTTGGAAGCTTGGCTCAGTCTTTAAGGATGAATGCCATCATGAGCGTAACTGTGAACTTTGTTCGATGATGGATCTACATCATGGGGCCCTGACTAAAAAAGCATTGGACACCGACTTCTGTCCGCAGAAGAGGTCCAGGGCATATTTGGACTCAGTAAATCATAGTTCGGATTTGCCAGCTTGGGTTGGTTTATGTTGGTTTCGATATCAGCCATGCATGGCATAATGAATGCGAAGTAGGTTGGTTCATTTGAAAGGAAATATCAACCCCAAACAAAACGACATCTGGGGTCCCAACCCTGCCGCTCAAATGTTCACCAGTATTCTGAGCTACGTAGTCAGCCATGTGCACCCTTAGGTTGCAGTCAACGGGAGTGGGCGAAGATCCCCCATGAGCCCGCTATAAAGACATGGGATTTTCCAAGATCAACGATATACATAGGATAGCCACGTGACAGCAAACAATGGTGGTCGATTGAACATGTTACAGCGATGTCTTTGTTTCATGAAACCAGCCAAGCAACACAAGTAGGGGAAGACCAAGATAAATCATCATCCGAATACACTTAGGCGATAAGCACAGGGGGGATGATTTCCATTTCTTTTCCATGGCCACGTTCGATACGATGGCAAGTCTGGGCGCTTGCCTTTCCAAGACCCGATGAAGCTGAGACAGAAACCTGCTGCGAGATTCAAGATAAATTCGATGTTATTATCGATGATGGTCATGAAACAATGTGGCCAAAACAATTGCTGGTACATGTGGTGCACCCCAGAAGCACGTCACCTCCAGTTCAATCATTCAGCAAAGCGGTATGTTTTCCCTCTTGGCAGATTGACACTGACACCACTTCAAAGTGGAATGCACGTGGGAAAGCTAAGCCTCCACAAAGTAGGGTGTTCAGTCTTGGGTCCCCTTTGGTCAACGACGATCCTACGTCCTACGCCACCACATGTCCCAGCTTGAAGTACCACCCAAATTGGTTTAAACTGCCGATGATCAAACTAGCGTGGTTTAAATTCATATCAAACAGACATCAAACAGACACCCGTTGTTTTTTGATTATTTTTTCAACCATCAGCAACTCATGTACCAAGCTTTGTAGTGGACAAAACTAAAGTTGTCAAAAAAAGATCTACTGCTCGTCTT